CTATCTATCTATCTATCTATCTATCTATCTATCTATCTATCTATCTATCTATCTATCTATCTATCTATCTATCTATCTATCTATCTATCTATTTACAAACACAATGAATAAAAAATGTGTAGGCTCTGTAAAATAAATGTTTGAACACTTAGAGCTTCATTTACAAAAGGATGAAGGCTAAAACAAAAAAATGGAGGAAAATTTTTCCATTTGCATTCTGCTCACACCCTGTTTGAATTATGCAAACGCACTCACCATCATGGGCACATTTCAGTATTTAAAGCAGGACTAACAGGCCATTTTGTGTCAAAATGTGGATTGCTGCACATTTCTTCCCCGCTCCTCTGTCGTGTGTGCGAGTATCACTCGAGCCGAATACATTATTTGAATTTGAAGCCTAATGAGATCTGCAACTGGTCTCCTCTCTCTGCCTGTTCCCTCCGCAGACGTTGATGACTGCCAGTCCGAGCCATGTGAAAATGGAGGAACTTGCGTCGACAAGATTGATTCCTTCCTCTGCCTTTGCCTGCCGAGCTACGGGGGGGACATGTGTGAGAAAGGTGAGAGCCCCGCAGTCGAACAGACCGAGGAATAGCAGCTGACTCCAAGCTGTGCCAGAGGAATTATCATGCACTGCTTGTTTCGGGGAAATGAAATGGGGCTATGGCGTCGTAATACTTTATTATGTTTGCACTATTTTTCTTGTTAAATGAGTTGTAGTTTGCTTTGCAGGTGGAAATAATCCTAATCAGTGTGCAGCGTCTGTTAGTGCCATATGCCCAGACTCCATATCACAAAGCCTCATCTCCTCTTACATGTCTGACGATGTGTTTGTGTCACAGAGCTTCAGGGGGACAGATGCTGACTGAATCTCAAAGATATGAAAACACTTTTCTAAGTGGCGTTTTGCACATTTTTTTCAGTCTACAGAAAGATATGTGCTGGTACTTCATCACTCCTGTACAGATATGTAGACTTATTACAAACACAACAACAAATCCTGAGTTACATGATTGCTTCAATTAGTAGGAAGGAATTGACCCAGGCCGCCTTATAAAACNTAATAAATTAGATGTGTTAGCCTTGGTGAATAATAAAAGGAAGTTTTTATTTTCTAAGCTGACTAGTTATTGAAGTTACTTTGTAGGTTTTATTAGTGACATGGAGCATATTTTCATACCATACAGAACAAGTTTAGGATCTATCTTCAGATAAACATCCACTGCTGACGGTGAAGGTGCACCAAGAATGTTTTTTGTCTGAATCTATCCTCATTTGTCACGAATCACTGAACTCCCACATAGCTAAAATTGTCTGGCCCACAAGGCACCAACACCCGGCCCAGATGCTGCAATGAATCTCTCTAGTGGCTCAGGTAACCACATAAACCAGGGGTGCCCAAACATTTTCCCTTAGAGGGCCAAAATTAAAATCAGTCTGGGGGCCGTGGGCCAAATGCGGTAATATAATACATGAAATGCAAGTACTTCTTAAGTTGTTTTATTTTTATGAATAAGCTAGAAGCCAGTGTGGCTGCCCACATTCTTTTTTTTTCAGCCCATGGATATGGAGAAAATTCAACATGTGCTCGGGCAGCAAAGGCTCATGGGATTTTCATAAATTAAAATTTGAGTATATGTGGCATAAGTGTGGTATGAGTATAAGGTGTGCAAATCTAGATGTGTGCTTAAATCTAAATGTCTCTTGTGGTTACTTGTATTTTATGTTCAGTCTTAACATAATTCAAAGATAAAGTGAGTACCATGAGTTAAGACTATCAGATTTCAGCTCCTTGTACCTATAGTTGGACCAATAGTTGAAAAGTGGAAATATAGTGTTTCTACACAGGACAGGAGATTGCAATCTAATAACCAAGACAACTGCTGGTGGGCCAAATCAAATGGCTTGGCGGGCCAAAATTGGCCCGTGGGCCCCACTTTAGGCACCTCTGACGTAAACCAAACCACGACTGGGCCAGTTGTGGCATGCCTTATTAAAAACAGTGCCATCATTGCCAGAGCTGGCCCACATTTAGTTGGGAAACCACTTACCCTGCCAGCAGTGTCAGCTTGACACCAGACCTGGCCCACACCTGTCTGCTGTGTGGGCTAGAGCTGGGATCAATGGGATTTGGTTAAATAAAAGTTAATAAAAAGAAAACAAATAAAAAATCTGATCTGCAAATTGTCGACTCTGTGTTAAAAATGTATGGTTGCAAACAAACCCAAACCATCAGCCTTCTAAGTTGTGTGTGGTGATACGTTTTGTCTCGTTTGTCACTTTGTGGTCCTGCGTTGGACCTGTGATATGTCCAGGGTGGACCCGCTTTTTCTTTTAAAGAGAAAATAGGTTTTATTTTGGTAGCCTTTCAAAATCACTTAGAGTATCCTTTTATTAGTTTTTTTAAAATTGTAACAGAAAGTACAATATTATTATTAACAAACTATAATATAATAAATATATCTGAAGCTGTTGTCTGAGCCTTTATTCATATATTTTCTTTACCCTCTTCTCCTTTTTGGGTAACGGGTGTCTGTCTCCAGCAGCATCAGTGCGAGAGGCAGGGGACAGCCCTGGACAGGTTAGGTCATACATCCATCACAGGGACACATGTAAAGTGTCAAACAGACACACTCACACCTATGGGAACGTTTTAGAGCACAGGTGTTGAACTTCGGTCCTCAAGGGCAGCTATTCAGCATGTTTTCCTTGATTTGCATAAATGGTTGGTTAACAGGCATCTACAGAAGTTGAAGAGGTAATTGAAATACTGAATCAGGTGTGTTGGAGCAGAGAAACAAAGGAAACGACACGGGTTAGTGGCCCTCTGGTTTAGAGTTACCAGGCAACATAACATGCATGTTGGTCAGTGGGAGGTGAATGGAGTACCCAGAGAAAACCCACATGTGCCCAGTGAGAACATGCAAACTCTGTAAACACATAATGATCCAATGTGATTTTGTGACCTTTTAGCCGAGAGTTGATAGCTTTATCAAACATAAGCTTGCACTATATCAAAAACTATATCTCTACACTCCGTTTAACGTGAGAACATAGAAAAACCGGAGTCCATGTTCGTAGTTTGTAGTCAGAGAGGCATGTTGAAGCAGTAAATGAGCTGATATCAGGTTGTCAGTCCATGATTCAGTATAAAAACAACCCAATCTGGTTTTCTGAGCATGCTCAGTGTGAGTAATAAACACACAGACTGAAGAATGATTGACATAAAAGTCTGTGTGATTCTCATCTGAACACACTCACACCCACATTCACATTCTCACATCAGACAAGCTGATTCACCACCTCGCTGGCTGCATCCACCTCCAGATCTAAAGCTGGATCTGTGTGTGTGTGTGTGTGTGTGTGTGTGTGTGTGTGTGTGTGTGTGTGTGTGTGCGCGCACCAGCAGTAATGAGGAATAATGAATATCTAACCTTTGCAGTTATAAATGAATGCCCAGGCCTTGGTGTTATTAATGAAAACCAATACTGCAGAGAGAGGGCCACATGTGCGGTGAATTGAAAATAAGCACACATAATTGCAGCTCATGTATTTAGCTTCTCAAGACAACTCGTGTATTTTAGGGTTTTATTTGTCAAATAAGATAAAACACTCATGTGCTCTTGCTCCGACTCCAGGCTTTAAAAAAGGACAATTCTCAGGATTGTATGGTATCTCAGTAAGTTCAGGAGAACCTCGTTTTCACTTCTCTACTCTCTTTTAGATGTTGAAGGTTGCGAGCACGGCTGGAGGAAGTTTCACGGCCACTGCTACAGGTATGACTGATTAAAACTCTTTCGTTGTAAAACAAATGGGGTTGTAATACGTCTTCCTGCAACAACTCATCCCTCATCCACTCGCGGCGTTCTTTTATAGCCTCGAGTCACCTGTGATGTACTCACAGCCCCGCTCTGAACCATTTAAACCTGTCTTGCTGCATAATAAATGCCATTTATAACTTCACATGAGCTTTTATGGCGCCCTCCCACAGGTATTTCAGCCACAGACACACCTGGGAGGATGCAGAGAAAGACTGCAGAGAGCACAGTGCACACCTCAGCAGTGTCCTGTCCAACACTGAGCAGGAGTTTATTAATGGTATGTGTGGCTGCGTAGGGTCTGATGATTTGGCTTTATTCTTATAGAACTTTTTTTTTTGCCAAATAAAAACAGAAAACCTAAACATGTTCCACAAAAACAGTCCAGCTTTACCAAAGCTACAAACCTAAACACAAACTGGATGTATAAAATTATTCATACCAACTAAACATGCTTAAATG